TGAAGTAAGAAAAGCCCTGAAGAGGATGAAGAGTGGAAAGTCAGTTGGTCCCAATGACATACCAGTGGAAGTAGATTTCCTGACTGGGTTGTTTAACAGAATTTTAGAGACTGACAAGATGCCTGATGAGTGGAGGAAAAGTGTTCTGGTGCCAATTCATAAGAAGGGTGATGTACAGAGTTGTAACAACTACAGAGGGATGACATTTAAGGATAAAGTTGATGAGCCATACGATGAAGATTTGGGAAAGATTAGTTGAAGCTAGGTTGAGGCAGGAAGTGGAGATTTGTGAACAACAGTATGGTTTCATGCCTAGGAAGAGTACCACAGATGCAATATTTGCCTTGAGGATGCTGATGGAGAAGTACAGAGAAGGTCAGAAGGAGCTACATTGTGTATTTGTAGATTTATGAGATTTATGATTTTTGAGAGGACATATAGATAGTTGGAGTCAGAGTAGAAGATGCAGAGAACAGGGAGAGATGGAAATCAATGATTTGCTGTGGCAACCCCTGAAAAAAAAAGGGACAAAGCCAAAAGAAGTACACAGTGTTATGTTCATGCAGACTACAATACGTCATTATGACTACACTTTTTGTAAAATAACAAATAAAAAATAATATTTATATGTTTGCTATTAATTACATTTTTTCATTTTATTCATTGAAAGAAATATTTGTTGATGCAGATGAATCATATCATCACATGCATCGTTATTTTATTGGTTATTAATTGCTGGGCTCAGATCAAAATTGCTCAGGGAAGATTAAGCATGTTACTTTTTAAAAAATGTATTTTATTTATATTTGTGTGTTGTGCTTGCAGAAAATTAAAATAAGTTGTGTCAAAGAAATCCAGAGAAATTTGGTGGATGCTGACAGCAGCAAACTGACTGTTGACTGTGAACCTCCTGAAAAGTTCCAGCAAACTCAGCTGCACTTTTAGAACAAAACACAAAGTGGTAGCGGAGGCTAAAGTTTCTGTATGGTCAGTTGCAGCCAGGGGAAAAGAGAAATTCCAGTTTGGAGAGGAAAAAAGCTACTCTGATGAATGAATAATCCTGACCAGTATTTGTAATTAATCTCCTAGCATGCCCTCTCCTGTCATTCTGTGGATTGGAACCTCACACATCATGAGTTCACGTCTATGATGAAAGTATAAGTCTGTGGCCTCCCATGTTGGCAAGGTTTCAGCTAGAAAACCATGAAGAAAAAAACCATTACACTTCAAAGCCATATAAAAATTGCACCCAATTATCCTCCTTTGATTTACAGATACTCAGACACTTAAAGGGACACATTGTGCTGCCTTAGCATGACCGCCTTACAACATGCAGCTCCGAGGTGTCTCCGAAACTTAAGCCTGACGCCGGATGAGTATGTCAAGAAATGTCCTACGATAGTTTCGGTACAGTGCAGCCTCTAAGGGAACAATCATTGCCATTATTCTGAAGCAACGAAAAAAAAAACTCAATTCTGTGCCCTTTTCATCCCTTTGGTGTCCCTATAGCTACCTACCCACACCCGGGGGTAGCGGTGCACTGATCCAAAAAGGTCAGAGTCTACAAAGACAATATATATTTGGTTTACGTTTAAGAGTGCTTGTGTGCTTAAGTAGGATATATGAACATGAATATGTTCTCGTGGCTTCAGCCTGTTCTTTGTCCTTTTAATAGTAACATGAACAGAACTTTTCCCTCACACTGTTATCGTCATACATTTTTATAATGTATTGGTATTCTTAAAATACCAACAGAACCTTATTTTTACACAGATGCCACCTTTTGAATTTTTTCATTCTCCCTTCTCTTGTCTTTCCTAGTGGCGACAGCTGTAAAGGAAACGTGTGCCACTGGGGCCATGCCAGCCTTTCACTACTACAGCTTCACTTCTCTTTTTACACCCTCATCACTTCCTCCATCTCTGAGACAAACACACAGATTATCCTTCCCTCAGAGCCAGACCCCAGGGATGAAAAGGATGTGAGCACCGAGCCTGGACCTGGACAAAAAGCTGTAATTCTCCACCTTGTCTCCAGGTCCAAAATCCATCTGGCTGGAAATTTAGTATCTGTGCTTCAATAGAGCTCTGTTTACACCAGTAGGTAGGTTTACACAAGCAAAGCAAAGAGTTCATATAAAATGCATTAACGGGGAATAATCCTTTAGGTCTTTGGTAAATAGGATGTAATGACGAAGAATGTACAAAGAGGGGGGCTATTTCAAAAATGGCTGTGGCCCAGTACCAAAACATCTGAGTCTATGACTTCCACTCTGTTTAGGTTTTGTTTTATAATTGTGAAAACAGCAGGGGTGTAATAAAGCCAAACCTAAACCTGTACTTTTCTTCAGTCCATTCATCTATAAAGATAAAAGATGTTAAGAGCATCCTCTTTTTGTGAGTAAAATGAGAGTCAGTTTTATTATATATAAAGAGAGAAGAGAGGAGAGAACAGGCAAACACAGAAAGACTGGGACCAAACCAACAAACCAGTGATCTTTTGGCTGCAAGACAGCAACAAATTAGAAATTTATAACTTGCAGTGAATGATAAGAATCAGGGTTCTTAAGTTGTGAAATCATTATTTTAGCCTAAGAAACTTAGATGTAAATAGTTAATTTGTGATCAAAACTCTCAAAATGTATAGCTCATTCTAGCGAAGTTCAATTTGCTTATTGTCCTGAATTATAGCCAGTCTCATGAGATCACACATGGCCCACATTTAGAAAAACAACATGGAGGGAAGGTGAATGACATCATCCTGTGTCGCTCAAACAACAGCCAGTGACAGCAGCCCTCTGAGCAGATTTAGCCCTGGGTCTGAAACAGTGGGAGTGATTTACTACCGTGTCTGTCAGAAGTCACACATGCCGTAGCTTATGTGAGAGGACGCAGTGCATCTTCCTCGCACACTAGCTCTTTTAATTACAGCCACTCAGCACATTCAAGCCACTGTTTTTCTACTCAGTTGTGTGACCCGGGGTCATCCTCCGAGCAAGAACTTCAAATTAATTGTCTGTCAGTGAACACAAATGGGATCCACACACTTGTGTTTATGAAAGCAGCTGTTTTTTTGGAGGCTCAGACACGTGTGTGTGTGAGCGTGCATGTTTGTTTGCTGCCAGACTCTCGCTGTGAGCTCAGCATGAATGAGTGAGAGAGCCATAAACACCTGAGGAAACAGGAACACACAGACACTCTCCCCCTCTCTCTCTCTCTGAAATGCATTTATGGTCCTGATTGAAGCAGGGTAAAAGCACATTGTCACGAACAACTAAGCTCTGGCCATGGCGAGAATCCAACCACAACACCAGGGCAGTTAAGACGACCCTGGATGAGTCCCAGGGGGCATTGAAGGGGACCGAATGCAGACCTGGGTTTAGAGGTTTAGGGGTATGTCCTGTTGTTAACTTGCTAGGCTTCTTGACTTTAAACTCCCAACCCTGACTCACCAGTGCTCACCAGACTCTTTAACTCTGAAGTCAAGAGATAAGGTGCATCGTAAGAAAACATCCATCTCCGGGTTAGCTAGCAGCTCGTAAAAATGGAAGTGTGGTAGCATGGAGAGAAGGTCTGTCAGGAAATGTCTCTGCAGACTCTACATGGAAGAGTCCATCAGTCCAGACAGATGACAGTAATGACTTCTGTCCTAAATGATGCACATCTTACATGCTTGATAAGTTTGAAGTAATCCGCAATGTACAGAGTTGTGTGTTAAACACAACGCTTTCGCCATTTGACACATGGAAAAAGAGAGAGGTGAGTTTAGTTCTCTAACGTGAGGAACTCAATTTGCTTTGCAAACTTGAAATTTGTAGTTGGTCTGAAGTTGAACACTTGGCAATGTTTATAAAATACTAGAGAGGAAAAGACCATTATCACCATAACTGTTTTTTATTAGTTCCTATTTCCAAGGCACTGCTAAAACAATCCCGATGGATCAATCATCAGAAGGCCAAAGACAATGTTGACTTGTCCGCACAAATCTAATCCAAAACCCCAATCCCAATCCCATTAATAAGCATATAAATCTAAGGCCATGACAAAATGGGTGAAGAAACCCCAAGTTAAATTATAATTCCTAAATGACTACATTCTGTTAATTCTAAAATAACTTTTTTTCAGGTTCTATTAAAAACAAAAACGATGAAGTCGTAAACCAGATTCTTAAAGTTTAGAATCCAGTTTTCTACACTGTATAACAACTGTAGTTAGAGCTGAGTGCAGAACTCACTGGAGTCTGCATGCTGCTCAATGATGGATGAAGCGTGAACTCTGACAAAAACAGTTGGCACACAATATTGTTGCGAACTCAGTTCTGGATTTCCTCCAGTCAGTCTGAATTACAACTCCAGTCTTTTTCATGTTTGGCAAGTGCATGCACTGTCCTGCCTGAAGACAGAAGTGAAACAAACAAAAGGTAGATAGACTGGAAGGATTTTTCACCAACCACTCCTTATGTTTAGGACTAGTACAGCTCACAGTGAAATCCCACTTTGCCAGCTGTGTTTGGCTGCGGCTTTACATATCAATTCATCTCTAGAGGCTAAGCTCTATTATCCTGCACTCTTTTCTCTTTCATTTAGTCAAGTGAGGTCATTCTCCTTTGGTCAAGGAGCTTGGCTCCTGCAGGAGAACGGCTGCTCCTCTGTCAGGTCTGAACTCTGAAAGCCAACTAGGCATGTCTCTAATTAGACCGACTTCTGGTGCACTTCATCCAATCTCGCTCTCTACTCTCCTCTCCAGTCCAGAACTAATCACAACCATCAGCACCACTCCCTTCATCCCTGTTGAGCATGGTATCAACCACATGAGCAAATGGAAATGTATGCACAAGACCTTCTCATAGTGGAGTTTAAAAGCCAGACAGAAGAGATTTATCTGAAATTCTTATTCAAAAGTCCTGTGTCCAACAGAGATGTGCGGCTGGAGGGGGACTGTAGGGAGGCAGTGTGTTTGGGAGGTCTATGACATGCAAAGCCATAAATGATGTCACCACAACACACCACAGCAACATCTCTATGATGTGGTGGTCTGTTTCTGGTTCTGTGTACATGAGGGCGGAGGAAGGACTTGGAGTTTGGCATCATCAAATCCCCACCCACAGAGCCACAACACTGGAGCTCTCTTGTCAGCACAGTGTTTATGAACCAACAACCGAGACAAATGAGCAGCGAGATGATCAGAACTACTGGGAGTGAACTAGAGCCATGGGCTGATACGGAACATCTAGTTTAAAACATATTTTGTTGTTCTCTTCTCATGTGATTTTAGTGGCTCTTAATGTTCTTATATGGATATAAATGGGAACGAGAGACTAATGAAAAAAGAGACATGTCACACTGCACACGTCAATAAATTAAATACATGCAGTAAAAATGTTTCATAAACTACATTGTAAATAGACCAAAATGAGAAAACTTAAGTGTTCTCCCACACAGACAGTGAATAACTAAACTATAGAAAAGTAGAGTTTTTCAAAATAAAACGTTGTATAGAATCAGATAATAAATTAATAAATAAAAATGTAAGATATCCATTCTTTCTGTGCAGCCCGGTACCATTTGACACATGGACTGGTGTTGGTCTGCGGCCCAGGGGTTGGGGACCACTGCTCTAGAACACCAGACCAAAAGAAACAAAGACAGACATACTGTCGTATATTCTTTCACTCCTATTACCTATGGCTGTAACTTAAACACCAACACAGCTCATTGTGAAAACACCACTTTACTGGAAACAAAACAGACTCAGTTAAGCTTCAGCTTAACATATCATTTCATCTCTGGAGGCAGCCTCTATTGGAACTCTTCTTCTCTTTTCTCTTTCATCTATTCACTAAGTGAGGTCATTTTTCTTCAGTCAAGAAGCTTGGCTCCATGAGAGAGATGCTTTCCCTCCAATCATGTTTAAGATCTTTAATCTAACCATTGATATTAAACTAAGCTACAGATTGATGAATTAGCCTCGCTAGGCTCCAAATCATGCAAAGTTGTTTTACTGTGGAACCCCAAGAGAATGTTTTCGCAACTGAAATGAAAGTATTGTCTTTTCTGTCTTGACCTGAGTTTTCAGTGAACATTTCCTCAGTAACTTTCAGATAATAAAACAGAACAAAAGCCTCCTATAGGAGTCTTGTTACAGGCAATACTGGTGGTTAACCAAGAGCAACTGCAACCAGATTCCTATTGCATTGTTCATTATAGAACACATGCACAGTTTTCACTACTGTCCTGTCTTATGCTTTTTTTTACTCTAAATGTGATCATATTGAACACATTTTACAACACACTACCAAAAGTCCGCAGATCTACAAATGAAACCATAGAACTATAGGCAACAGTCCAGCATGTGGTCAAGGGTTGTAGATTAGAACCCCCTCTGATGTTTACTGTCAAAGCATTCACATTTTTAACCTGATTGATCCCATGGTATAAATTGATTAATCACCATTAATCATGATTACACATTAACATGAGTAATGGTGATTAATCACAAATAATTGAAAGGTGTCAGCATTCCTCAATATTATTGTATGTATTTTGTTTGAACTGATGATAAATAACAGCAGATAGATGAGAGGTGAAGCCCTTGTCCTCAACAACCTTAATCAGTCTAAATACAATGTGTGCTTCATTGCACCATAGCTTTAAAATTCAATGAGATGTTAATCTAATTTTATTTTATTCTGATTAACTTAATTAACACATTCATTTCAATGGAATTAATCTGACTTTAAATACGGTAAACTCTTCTATATCAATAATGTGATTGTCTCAGCACTCACATCACAGCACCAAATATTCTTCACCTTCTTGGTGCCTCCTTTAAGACAGTAGCCCTGTATGTGAGACTGCTATGCATCCTGTCCTGTAGCTGCACAGTGCAGAGTCGCTGGTTTGTTAAAGGACAGGGAGCCGACAGGCTAATGTGCTTTAATGACACCAGTTGTTGAACGGATCAGAGATGACAGAAGGCAGATAAAGCCCACACCACTGCTGGTGAGAGGATCTAAAAAGGTCAGGACTCTGAAGGTCCATTCTTATCTTGGAACATGATGACAATCTGCTCCCGACTGCCTGATTTGTTGGGTTGTAAAAGTCTTGCACGACTGTAGGTCGTGAACTCGAGCACACCAGTCCATGGCCAGGTGTAGGGGGAAATACCACTGCTTTATTGGGGACAGAAGAATACGCCAGCTGCCATGGACCTGAATGCATGTGTGTTGATTCCACTAAATCCACTAAAAGTTGTTTGCACTGCTGACTCGGCACACTTGATTTCTTCCTAGACTGCAGGAAAAATAGTTTTAAATGCACTCCCCAGTGAAGTCTTCAGAAATAATAAATAAATCAGTAAGCAGAAGAAGCACTTCCAGTCCTGGTGCCAGACGCATAAAACTTAACTCAAATTCAAGGCTAACCATGTATAAAGCATTTAAAAAAAAGATCCAGCAAAAGAAGTATGCATCTGCAATTCTTTAAGTAATTTATTTTAGATTTAGGAACAGAGGAGAGATACAGGTCAAGAAATGTAGCATGAAGCAGTAAACCAAATGTGCTTTCTTACGTATGGATGCGATATCATACAAATAAAACAGATATTACTATAAAACAAAATTTATAACTGTCTCCTGTAAAACCGAGTGAACCAGACTCTGCTGAGAAAATATATTCTACCACTGCATTTGACCTTTAAATATGGACGTATGGAAACTATAAAAGCAAAGGGAGTTTGAATTACTGTCGCATTTATGTTCTGCAGTCTGCAAAGTAAGGAGAGTAATCATCAGTAAATCATTAGAATAATAATAAAAAAAGTTAGCTGCTCAGTTTTTTTGAGCATCCTCGCAAGTAAACTTATCTGCTGGATGTTTGGTTATTACCTGTATTTTCACTTTTTTTTTGGAAGTTGTTAAAGATATTTTTGTTTTTAGACTTAAAATACTAACGTTATACCCACCAAGCTGGTGGCAGTAGTGCAACTCAATGGATGCCAACAAGATATATGTCTGTATGTAGATTGTTCTTGTAGCAATTTATTCACAAAGTTCTTTTATAGTGTAATAGCCATGTACTTACCAATGTGATACCCAGCTTGCACTATCACAAGGCAGTAAAATAGTACATTATATAATGTACCTTTAATAATGTTGAACAAAGTGTTGTGGTATATTTTATGACACAAATTGCACCAGCACTTGTTCCAGCAACAACTTTCAGTTTTTGTTTATTTATTTTGGGTCAGCTCTATATTGTCTGTGCTGGCATTGTTCCTTAATTAATAATGTTTATGAGAGGTCTCTTGTGAGGAAAAGCATGGGCTTAAAGAGCTGGATGACTCTCATAACGGCCTACATCCCAGATTTCCTCAACATCAGCTGCTTCCAATTTGATCTCAAAGTTGTGCATACATAAATATCAGCTGCTATGGTCACTTCTGCACAGGCTGCAGCTCACCTCTCTCCCTAATCTTTGTGAATGGAGATGGACTGGAAGGTTTAAAACCAGCAAGCGAAACATCAAAATGAGAAGAGAATTCAAGAATGTGTCTAAAAGAAAAAAGAGGGTGTTGTACTCACTGGGACGTGCAGTAGTGTGTTCTGAGAGGAGTGGGAGTACAGGTCAGCCGCTCGCTCTTGTTCATTTCATCCTCCGCAACTGAGCTCCCTCCTCTCACTGCTAATAATGTCAGCCTCCATAAAGACAGCTAATCACAGCAAGCAGCTGTGAAACTTACTGTACAAATCCTCAACACCTTGCCGTCCCACCCACGCCTTCGTTCTGGCATTCAGACAAACACATATCCCAGCTGGGGATGACTGACTGATGTTTAAAGCGTAGGGTTTAGCGTGTAGGCCTGTGATAAGCTGCGCTGAGCTGTGAAAATACAGATTACATTTCTAAAGGATTATTTTATATAGCACGACTGTGCCTTTCAGCTTGCAACCCCCAAAAACTGCAGCCTCCGTTCGGCTGTGAGATACGGTTTGATGGGGATCCCTTTAGCAAAGTTCTGACAAGCATGTTAATTCAAGTCTACGTCTCTTCATATGTTGTGCATCACTGTGCCCCCCTCCTGTGATAAGCCTCATATTTTTTTTCTGTGAAAGCAAATAGACAGCTAAACAATTTTCAGGATGCTGTCAAAAATTAGCAAACACAAGACAAGATTTTATTGGTGTAGAGTGCATAAATGCTGAAGCAGCCTGTATGGGACAGTAGATGGTCCTCAGAGCCAGTTCTAATCTAAAAATCCTGCTTCTTGCATTAGAGTTGATACTCTCATTTCACAAAATTACCGCCAAATAAGATATAATTGTGATATCTGTACTTAGCTGGGATATTTAATCTCAAAACAGGCATTTACTAAACGTGGAATGCCAAAGACAAACAGGCATACATTTAATCCCAGTATCTGGCGGCAAATTAAAGTGCCTACATCTGCAAATAATTAGTGGGGTTTTTTTTGTTTGTTTGTTTGTTTGTTTGTTTGCTCAAGCTCAATCAGAGATAAAGACCATTGTGCTCCAGGTCCAGAGTAAGACTATATCTCCCAAACCTCATAGAAAACAATTAGGACACAGTAATTACACCACAGGCCTGGAATTCCATCCAGAAAGAGAGTAGATGTAAAAGGTGCCTGACTGATGGAGTGTTATCTTACCCGCCCGAACTCTGATGGAGTGAGTTTGTTTATTACAGCCTGGGTGTGATGTAATGTTTTGCTTTTGAAGCCGTCGGTTTCAAGACAAGCAGCCAGAAATGCTCACAGGCCAGTTTATGACTGGATGACAAAATGTCATAATCTCTTCCCACTTTATATCTACTCTCAGCTGGTTGATTTATTGTAGCTGACCTGTTTGCTGGCAGGACGATGAGTGAGAAGAGAGGCACGCAAGAGAAAACAACTCTCATATCTGAACTGAAGTGTAAGCATATCCTGAAAACTCTGCCCTCACAAAATAAGTCACTTCCTCCTTTCTTGCGCATATTTACACATTATGAACAGGGCCTGCTGGGATACATGTTACAGAGATCTGCAGGAAAGCAGACTGGCCTTGAGAAGCAGACATGGCTGGAGCTTTTGAGGTTGTCTGCTGAGGAAACGGTGGAAGTAAGCGCCGAGAAGCATAAGTTAATGACCAGATTATGCACATTTTCCACAGTCTCTGAAGCACAAGTGAGAAGGGGGTGATATACGGTGGGAAAAAAGTATATGACCCCAATACCAGACTTCAGGGGTATACTATACACTCTCTGGCCACTTTATTAGGTACACATCCACCTTCATAATTGCCCTAATTCCACATGACTAGTTTTTAACAAGACGCTGCAAGTTCCCTTTTGCTATTGATCATGAACATACTGCAAACCTTCTGCTAATTTGTCTGTGTTCATTAATATTTTTTAAGGTTTTTAAATGCTCGTCTTTTTGCCTCTTCACACACAAAGGGTTTGAGTTGCCGCCATGTGACTTGCTACTTAAATATCTGCAGCAATAAATGAGTTTTACTTCAGAATGAAATAACTCTAATTGGCAAACATAGACAGCAGGCATGAAAATGCAGGCAGAAAAACAGCCTCCACTAACGGTCCTCTTTAATTAAGCCTTATAAAAAGTTCAAGAAGTCTTTACAGCTGCTGTAAAATCCACAAAGAAATGTCTTAAGATTTGCAGATGAAGCCACACACAGGGTTTGAAAAAAACTGGAGGTGAAACCTAAACCCAGTGAACTACAAATGCAGCTTCAACCTTCACTTTGCAACAGAATTAAGCACAACTACGATGGTTTTATTTCTGCATTAAAACCATGAGTGAGGCAGATGGCAGCCAGGTATCGGGTTCTGCACTGGCAAGAAGTTCTGCTCATGTGGCAGGAGCAGAACAAAGCGGACAGTGGCCCTGGATCGCATCCACATGCTGGAGAGTAAAGGCCCCGTGAAGTGTCACTTTCACTTAGCGCTGCCTGTGATCCGAACCACCCCGAACGACGCTCAGATAAGTAGCTAATCCCAGCATCCCCTTGGGCTCCACGGCCCAACAACATCAGGGCTGACAAGGAATCTCCTCCAGCAACGTCTTTATTGGATAGTTTAACAATGTGTTTTTTTTCCATGACTGGTTTTCTGACCAAGACTGGTACATGAGTTTCACAGAAGGGAAGTCTAGAACAAGCATGATATTCTCTCAGCAGTGATATGAAAGCAGAAGTTTCTGCAGATTTTCAGACTTACACTGTACAGCTGCAGCCAGCAGCCACCGCCTGGGGGACGAGAGGGAGGAGGAAGCCTGGGACTTGTTCTTAGCTTACCTTAGAGGGAGAGCATTAAAAAGAAAAATAACCACTGCTTTCAGCAGCTAAGCTAACTGTTTGTTTGTTTGTTTTTTGCTTTAACCTAATTTTTAATTAAACTTTCTGGTTTATCGGTTAAAGTTAGGCCAGAATTTTAACGCTTTTGTCACAACGCTGTTGGAAGTACGCAGAATTTTAAAATGACTTTGCTGTTAGCTTACGCTATGTATCGCAAACATGCTGAACAAAGAGAACAAATATATATATATATTAAATTATATATATATATATATTAAATTTTATATATATATATATATACAATTTAAGAAAAGAAGGTTACATCTGAACCATAAAGTTCCACCATAAAAAACCACACAAAATGAAGCCCTGATGATGACTGGAAGATAAAACTGAACACCAAAGTGGAAAAGGCCTGACTCTTCATGAAAAGGTCACAGAATTTTAACTTATCTGAGCCATGAGAGAGTCATTCCTCTTCACTTGTTCACATGATACTTAAAGCACAGCAGACGATGAGAACACTTTTAGAAGCCAATTAAAGAGAGTTCTGCTGAATGAAGACACAACAAATGGTCTGACATGTTAAACACTGACACCCAGATCCCTCTCTCATGTTACAGCACTTGCCTATGTGGACCCTACCTTCTTCACAGGCAGCACCAGTGAATCCTGGACAGCATTTCCACTCCAGAGAGGTCACTGTGCGGTACACCACTTTGTAGGAAGGTCTAAAAACAGTCCTGTAGCTGGAAAAACAGACGTATACGATGAAATGACGACCTTTCTGCAGTCTGTACAAAATGGAATGATGTTTCCCATGTTCACTTTAAAGGTACAGCTTGAAAAATGTAGTTGTTTTTTTAGATATCTCTTCAAACTAATGACTGTGATTTACTTTAGTAAGACAAAGTGGGTTATGTTTTGATTGTGTTATACAATGTGGGCCACTTGTCACATATTGGCTAACAATATTTTGTTAATGAAGTGTAAATCGAGGGAAATCAATGTCAGTAGTTGTATTTCTTTAGGGAAAAATTGGGAGAAAAAGTATAGCATATGTGTGTCAGGGTCAACTGGATTTTACAAAGAGACAAACAACTGCTCACATCAAAAAAATATGGTAAATATGGACCTAACACATTGTCAGAGGAAACTGATGTACCAGCAGAAAACCCACACACATGCAACATGGAAACCAGTGAGAGGGAATCAAAAATCAAAGTGATGCTGTAATGAGACTCGTACTAAACACTCTTCCACTGAGTGGTCGAAGAGGTTTTGTTTTGGTTCTAAAGGTTTATGACTGACTGATAGGTAGATTTTATGTTTTGTATGTTTTCTATGTGAAGTGTTCATCTTAAATTACAACTAAATATTTCCAAATCCAAAATCATTTTGAATACTGTTGTAGTAAATACACAGTAAATAATTCTGCAGGGCAGGTAGTCGTCTACCTCAGGTCTGGGCCTTTCATGTAAATGTCAAACATGTACAGTATTTGTCAAAATATTTCACCCTCATTCTTTGAATGAGCCTGGCCTCAATAATGTGGCTTCATGTTTGACTTTTGTCTCCCTGATATCATAAAAGTTAGAGTTTGCACAAAGTAAACGCAGCTGCACTTCCGCACCGTACATTGTGTTTTTTGCTGATTATGGATTTAAACTTCAGCAGCAGTGTTAAGGTTAACATTCCGTGGCTTACTCACCTCCCTCCTGTACATCCCTGTGGCCATCGGCACGTTTGGTAAACTCTCTGGAGAACGGTACCATTCTGCACCTGGCAGGTCACAGTTTTTGTAACGGTGTGAGGACACCAGTTCCTAAAGGAGAGAAAAGGATTTAGGACTGAAACAACACTGTAATAAATCCCAGTTTCAGAAGTGAATCACTTCTGAAACTGGGGGAGGTGTATTTCAAAAACACCTTCAGAGAAGCGTTCCCACACAAAAGCACACTCATGAAAGTCAATTAGCCATGCTGTCGAATTCAATAAACCCTTCTCCTCCAGGGTTTTTCATTCCTCCCCCTCTCTTCTCCACCCTATTGTTTTGAAACTTCTTTATGGTGTTTACACAGTTTTTTATCAGCCACGAGATTTGGCCAGGAGTGCATTGTGGGCCGTATTTACACTGCAGTCTCTCCCCGGTCAATACACATCCGTTTGCAATTTGGCTCTCTGAGGAGGTAAAGTCTTCCTTCAGAGGGAGCAAAGAAGAACAGGACCGGGTCTCACAGGGAGATTAGAGGTTTTTAAGCAGAGGTTAATGCTGGGTCACGAGTGTAGTGGTTTTCCACAGAGGCCAAGCAAGACATTATGAAGGTCCACTGAGGCTGTAGGAAAACCGGCCCTGCTTATTTAGGGTTGAGAGGTTAAAGTCTGACTGTGAGGATGTAATTTTTTAAAGCAGGCTGTGTCATGTGTACGTACATATTTCATGTTCTCTACAGGAGAACAATGTAAACTGATCTAGTTTCACCACATTTTATTAAAAAAAAAAAATCTGCCTTCTGAACTGGCTCAATTTTCAATGGCACGGATCCGATGAAATGCTGGAAAACATTCCTCAGAGATTATTGACCATATTGACAGGATAACATCAGCAGTTGCTGCAGATTTGCCAGCTGCACATTGGTGATGTGAATCTCCCTTTTAAACACAGTGGAGGCCAATCACAGTGAACTCATTGTCATGTTTTATAACAAATGTGCCAAGAAAATATTCCTTACACCATTAATCCTCCAGCAGCAGTCTGAACAGGATGGATCCAGACTCTCTAACATCTGATTCTGGCAATAGAAATCAGAGAAATTGGACTGAGGTATAGTTTTATTTACCTCCTTATGACAAGGATTGTCATTCCTGTTCACACCCACCAACATCCACACCACATTAAACGTCAAATAAAACAAATTTTTCTTTCCATTTCTGATGCTTAGTTTGACCTTCAGCAGGTTGACTTGTCCATGATCATATATCTAAATGCATTTACGGTACTTTATGTCATGTCAATGATTAGCTGTTTGCTTTGTTGTGCTCTTAAAGGCTATACAGATTAAAGAGCTCACAAGGAAAACGCTGCCATTAGTGTATGAGGACAACATATGTGGACCAGGGACAAGGGACATATAAAACATGAGAGGAACTTCATTTCATCAACTTATCAAATCAAGAAAATGCCGACCGCTTCGTTATTTGGCATAACACACCAGCTTCCATACTTTTCTCTTATATTTATTTAAAGTGAATAGTGTAAATACTGGACTGATTGCATATGTGTGGCCATAGGTGAAGGAGAACAAAGAAAAACAATTACTTTAGCCTGTGTTTAGGCAATGATTAGACACAAAGACATGGTGCTTTATGTGAAAACCTACAAAGGAGTCCTGTTGTGGCCTGCAGCGAGAAATCTACGCTGTGTGTTCTGCTGCCAATGTGTGTGTGTGCAGGAGCGGGACAATGTTCCTACCAAAGAGACCAAATGTTTGTGTGTGTGTCTGTGTGTGTGTGCAGGAGGCAGTTTACAGTAAAGGAAACTGCAGAAGGGGGAGGATGAGAAGCGGCTCTGAACCACCTCACAGTAACAATCTCCACATGTTGTGTTAACCACACACACACTCACACACACACACACACACACACATACACATGCACACTGCTCCACCTCTGAGAAATTGATGAAGACCAGTGCAGTGGCACATGGTACTTTTGGACTAAGGTTTTTCCAAGGTAAAAAGATAATAATGAGAGACTTGGGTGAAGGTTCTGTGATAAATGCACCGATTACAGATACCAGTATCGGTATCGAGCCCAGTACTTCATTTAAATACTGTGTACTGATACAGTGTTATGTATTTTCCTACCGCAGTTCAGTGGCCTACTGCCCTCGTTGGTAGTGTATTTAAGTAGGCCAAGAGTGTCAGCAGTTGGGAGTTATTTTTACCGTACATCAGGGGCAGGTGCAGGGTTTACTGTAGAATTAGTTATGTTACCATATGAGCAACAAAATGCTGAATATGTTAATGTAGCTCTTCATCCTTGGGGTGCAATATGGAATTCAATTTGCCTGAATTGTCTAGTAATCGATAAAAAGAGTTGAGGGAAAATAGTAGTACACAAGTGAAGCACTGTAGTACTTTCTTCTTTCAGTTAAGGATGCTGCAGTTGTTCTTTTTTCACAAGTTGTGGATTGTTCGGTATAAACTTTCAGCCTTGTAAAGGCAAATTAGTCCAACTGTATGTATGATCAGGGACAATACAATGTCACTCTTAGCACTAACATGGCTAAATTGTAATCACAAGATAGTATAACAAACATGATCCATCCATCCATCCATCCATTTTCATCCACTTATCCATTACCGGGTCGCAGCAGTTGCCATCCAAATCACACTGCACCGTACCAACCCCCCTGAACCTTCCTGTGGGTGGTGAGTCCACTGGAAGGTACCAACTGCCCTAACCGGGATTCAAACTTGCCCAGGAGGTGAACCCTGGGGTTCCACACCAATGACAGAAACATTGACTCTGGGCTAAAGCGCCACTACAAACATGATCAAAAACAAATTTTAAAAAAATTTCTTTAGGACTACCAGACATTTGTGATGTAAAATGGGGTAACAAGTCAAAAAAGGTTGGGAACCACTGTACTAATGTCCCTCCTCAGACTCTGACACCTCTGTATTCTTCTGAGATGGACTTGGACTCCAGTCGGTTATTCCTTGTAGGGGGGTCTTGAACAGCTTTAAGAGGAAACCTGGACTGGTTTGTTTCTGGTGTAAACATCATTAGTTTCTGTTTCTGTTAGCGTTACCTCACAGGTCTGAATTCATGGTGATCGTATGCAAGCCGTTTCCAACCTAATTAGAGCTTTTGTCTTTACTGAAATAAACACCAAATTGTAGAGAGTTGTCCTAATGTCTACACACCAGACTTTGAGATGCTTTGAGTCTTGATTTTGCTAACAGTAAATGTGCAAGTCAAAAAAGTTTATCTCTGGTTTGGTTAAAGTATCAGACTTTTAGAAATGATCTAAACTTAGACTAAGAAAACATGGCAAAAAAAAAACAAAGATCAAATTAAGTATGAATTTGAGTTGGACATTTGTGACCTAGGACGATGACACATGTTTGTTAACAAGGTTTAGGATGTTTATTTTTCCAAACTCTCCTTTTTTATTTGTCAAAATAAACCTTTCAAAGTATTGTGTTAGAATTTGAGGCTTGGAAAACACTGGGCCAGTGTGACTGTCCAGAGCAGAAGTCATTATTCTTCAATAAAAACAGTGCAGGGTGGATGTTGGCTTGAGTTGGATCAACCTGTACAGTGGCTCAGTTCTTTTGCAGTGTGAGCACTTTTTATAAACCCCACAGTTTATCCAAAGACATTAAAATAAACAGCCTCAATAATGTAATCGTAAAAAATATTATATAGCATATTATTGATTAAAAACATCCTTTGAAAAAAGGCCATTATTTTAGTAAAGCCAAAATACATCTGCTAGTCAACTGGTTTGGATCATTAGAAACAGCTCTACAACACATTTTCTGACCTGTGATTTTACACGCTCCATCCTTCAGTAGCTCACCACCTCTCAAATGCAAGAAGTGACAATCAATGGATGATGTTAAACAATGTAAATGATAAAGATAAGAGAACACAGCTCTCACAGACTTCAAACATCCATGAGCTGTAAATCAGCACAACAGAACACAGACCTTTATGATCCTATGATTATTTCCTGTCTTGTCCAGGGAACCTGTCTCTAATCAAGGGTGGAAATTTCAAACGTCGACGCAGCTGTGGACAGGTAGAGCCAGGAGGGGGGTATGAGTCTTTGACTCCTCCCCACCATTTATCCTCCAGACCCAACAGAAAAACTTCTGCCATTCCCAGGCTGAGGAGGTTTCACCTGGGAAAGCTAAGACTGACACCTGGGGGGTACGAGAAGGGAAGTGGGACTAGGTTTTATGATCTCCCCCCTTGCTCTCTCTTTGCATTGCACTTATGCTATTACCAAAGAGAAAATGCCATCCTCTGTGGTTTCTGTGAAAAAAATAACAAAGGCAGATGGTATGACATGGTTTACAATTTCCTAAATGAAACAACACCAAACACCTGCATCACCCAGATGTGAGTGACACTAAACTAGTTGTGGATTCTGCTCTGTGGCACTCCACAATTCTCTGTTCTCTCTGTGTTGCTTAATTAAATGTATTCCAAGGCTCATTGTCCTTATTTCTATTAGAGGTTGTTCTGAAATCCTCACACTGATCAAGACAGTGAAAAACTGATTTACACTCTCTAAGGTAATTCATTGGTTTTCTTGTTAAGTGCTAAGTTTCAGGGATACCATGCACTACCTGTTTTTTATCTTTCTTTTTTAAAGAAAAGTCAAACCTCTGTGCAGTTTAGTTCATGTATCTCTACCATCACATTAGCCGCGTATTCTATCACATTAACGCAAAGTATCTGACTGGGAGTATTCACTCTGTTCGGAGTGATGCTTCTGATGCTGGATTCCCAACATTCTGTTTCTCATACACAAATAAATGTTGTATAACAAGGGTCTGAATTAGAAATGACAGAAACCTAATGATTAGAGACCGCAGTAATTACTAAGTCAAGACCAATCCACCAATTTTAGGACTAATGCATTATTTATTATTAATAATTCACTAAGTAAGAATGTACTCAATAAAAGAATGTTTTTCATTATGTTTTCCTGTTTTCTTCTTCCAACTGTGAAGATGTTTTGGTTTATTCGCTTGTATGACAGTAAATTAAAAAACTGGCTTTGGTGGAAAAAAAAAATGGTAAAGA